CCCCAGAATTCGCCAGCCAGCCTTTCCCCATGCTGGCTGGCGAATTCTGGGAGTTGAAGTCCACTCATCTTAAAGTGGCCAAGTTTGGACAACACTGATATAGACAGTACTTGTTTCCAGAGTCTTCTTTATTTCCTACCCTTTTTTCCCTTTTTGTACATTATCCTCCTTCATGCCCTATTTTCTGCGTGGCTTATTGTTTATCTTCAGCATAGAATCTAGTTTTTGTTAATTCTGACTGGAGATTTGTACTTGTCTTTCAGAAAGCGCTGCTCCAGGGCCAGTGCCTGAAGGAGTCATCCGTCTCTACAGTATGCGTTACTGCCCTTTTGCACAGAGAACACGACTCGTCCTGAAAGCCAAAGGAATCAAGTATGATCAGATACTCTGTCTCCTATATTCATTTGGACTTAGTTTAAAAGTATCAAACTTCTTTTTAGTTGAAAATTAAGCAGCTATTTGGTACATATTTGGGCTTATAAAAATTGTCTTCCAAGAGACATGTTACCTGCCTTCTTTTACGCTATAATAACATTTTCAATTTCAGGTTTGTTCCTCAGTTAAATAGGGGATTCTGCTCCAGAAAGATTTCACTTGGGAACCCATTTAAAAATATAATAGGGAAGTTGATGGATAACTTAATGGAAGGTGGATGTTGCTTTGTTGTAAATTCCTGACAAATATTTCTGTGGCTCTGATTGCCTATCTTATGCTGCATATCAGCATATGCTGTTTTCCTGGCCATTTGCAGGATTTCTTGCTGCTGATTGGAAGTCATCTTGTCAGAACTGATTGCATTATTTTTAATTATTAATTAATTAAATTAATTAAAGAGTATTGGTCTTCGAATGCAATGTAGTATTTTAGGCATAGAGTTGACTAAGTTACATTCCTTTTTTGGATTCCAAGGCAATTTGGCATTTGGTTATATTTTTAATAGTGTCCCCTCTCTCTTTCTACATAGTGAGTCAGTATGTGCCTATGGTCTATTTAATTATATTGGTAAGCTGTTTTTTGTATGGACAATCATAGGACATGCTTTTTTTTTTAAACTGTCCTCCATGTCATACAAGTTGATAAAGTCAGGTGTCTAGAGATGAGCTTGACTTCTGGTGGCTTCATAGACAGGTTCTAGTCCCACCTTAGGCATGAAAGCTGGCTGGGTGACTTTGGGGCAGTCACTCTCTCTCAGCCCAACTCACCTCACAGGGTTTTTGTTGTGGGGAAAATAGAAGGAAGTAGGAATATTAGCTATGTTTGCCATCTTGAGTTATTTATAAAAATAATAAAGATGGAATTGAAAAAAAAATGAAAGTGATTAGTCTTTGCTCTTCCAGGGTGGGTTTTTTAAATTCCCAGGTGATTTCTTAACCTAATACTAATGAAGACTGCTCCTGTTGAGCTTCTGAGATCAGCTAGGTGCTACCAAAAGATGAAGCTTGTTTTACCATTACCTTAATAAATGGTGATTAGACTTTAGGGAAAGGTTACTGTGAAGTAACTCAAGAGAGGGTTACTCTCGTAGCCATCCCATGAGATCCGATAGGGTGGGCACGGTCTGAATCCTTGTTCCAAAACCTTACTGAAAGAAAGAAAAGAATATAGTGTCAGACTGCAAATGCAAGCCGCAGGCACTAACTGCTCTGGTTGGATGGGGCAGAGACAGCCTTACATAGAGGCACACAAATGCATCCATAAAATCAGAATCTAAAAATCTTCTCTTCCAGTTTCCAAGAGTTATATTACCATGTCGCATTTTGCAAACTATATATAGTAGGAAATTACTAGTCATAGCTTTGAACCACCTCATTTTTACAGACTGTTTTAGTAACAGACTGTTGAAAGAATTAATCTTGTGGTTTCTTCATCTCATTCTATTTAGCCATGAAATTGTTAATATCAATTTGAAAAACAAACCAGAGTGGTTTTTTGAGAAGAGCCCATTTGGAATGGTCCCTGTGCTAGAAACAAGCAAGGGTCAGCTGATCTATGAATCTCCAATCACTTGTGAATATTTGGATGAAGCTTACCCAGAAAAGAAGTTGTACCCTGTGGACCCTTATGAAAAAGCTTATCAGAAAATGCTCCTGGACTATTTCTCCAAGGTATTACTGAAACATAGCAGAAAATTCATTTTAGTGTGGAAGATTAGAATAAAACTAATAGATTGATATTTTGATAATATATTGATAAATCTGCTTGAGAATATGGTTTTCTTCTTCCTTGAAGCTTTATATGTGTTTGAATAGGCAAAATGAATTCTACAAAAGAAGAAATTCATTCATGGAAGAAAGGTAATGAACCATCTTAAGATAACTGGGCAATGCAATCACATGCCAGGTGGTAATCTAAGCTTTAAATTATGAGGGACTCAGTGCTTCAAAACCTAGCTTCTTCTGCTATAATGTACTCTCTATGATATCTTGCAGAAATACAGCCTAAAATGTGAAAATTTGATTAGAAGCATTATTACAAATATATGAGGTAAAGTTGGGAAAATAGGTCAAAGGTCTGTAGTGATTCTGGGAGATTTGTGAATTCTAGGTGGAGAGGCAAAATAGGATTTTGTTATCTAACTATACTCTTTGAACCAGACTCAGAGCAGCCTCAATCTGAGTGGTATAGTGAAGGGCAAAGAGTTTGTTAGTTGAGGGATTTGTGTTTCATCTTCTGTCTTCCCAAATATTAGTCATTCCATGTCTGTGTTGATACCTTACATCAGTGTTTCTCAACCTCAACAATTTTAAGATGTATGGACTTCAACTCCTAGAATTCCCCAGCCAGCATTCTGGGAGCTGAAGTCTACGTATCTTAAAGTTGCTGAGGTTGAGGAACACTGCCTTAGATGATTTACTAAAACATTTGAAGAACACATTCAAGATTTTGTGATCACTCCATGAAAATTCTATGTTTGCTTAATAAAAGGTCTTTTGGAAGAATAACTTGTTACCCTGTAAAGTGTATGCAATATGATGAGTCTGAATCTGAACAAAGGAATAAACAGGGAGTACTTTAGAGAACCATTACTATCATTCATATCTCATATAAGGTAAATGAAAGGTACATGGTTTTAAAAAATTCTTCCTAAGTTCTGAATGCTTCATAACTCTAAGCTATACTGGATGTGATTAATGCTGCCTTATTGAAAAGGATGGCAAAGCTATGATCTTGGGACTATCTATAGGAGCTGTTGTTAAGTAAATACAGGTAGTCCTCGGTTATGACCACTCATTCAGTGACCATTCAAAGTTATGAGGGCACTGAAGAAGTAGTGGTTACAACCAGTCCTCTATGTTCCAGCCATCCCATCACTCCCGTGGTCACGTGATTGCAATGTGGGTGCTTGGCAACCGGCTTGTACTTATGACGGTTGCAGTGTCCCAAGGTCATGTGATCGCTATTTATGACCTTCCCTGCTGGCTTTCCACAAGCAAAGTCAGTAGGGGAGCCTCCCCTGCCCCTCACGCATCCTCTTCCACCATGCTTCTCTGCCACTTGTGCATCCTCTCCCACCCAGCAGCAGCCACCCCAAGCCCTGCTACGTTTGTGCTGCACCTCCCCAGCCACCCGCACACCCCCTTGCTCCCTGTCCCACCCGGCAGCAGCCACTTACCTGCCTGCTGGCCTGCTTGCAAGCCACCTGGGAATAGCAACTTCCTGCTGGCTTCCCCACTGGCTTTGGTTGTTGGAAGCCGGCAGGAAGTGGCAAGGAGATGCTTACTTAATGATCCGCAATCCTCGCTTAATGACAGCAACGGGGACTGCAAGGATTGCCATTGCTAAGCAATGTGGTCATGTGACATTGCACTTTACAATCGCATTGCTTAGAGATGGAAATCGTGGTTTCAATTGCCATTATAACTTGAGGATTACCTGTATCTGGAACCCATATGATCCACTTTTGTCTATAAGGACAATTTGTCTTCTCTAATGATAATGAGATTGTCTCTTATATTCTCACAGGAACCTTTTGTTTCTTGAATGAAAATGCTATACCTTTGTACACCTTGATAATGTACCATTTTTTATTTACTTAGCTACCTCCAATAAGTCACAAGCATTTACTGGCTATCAAGAATGGGGAAGATACATCAGCACTGAAAAATGAGTACCAGGAAAAGCTTCTCAAGCTTGAAGAGGTAAAGAGTTAATGACCTTAATTCTTTCAGAGCAAGCAATGAAACATCATTATGAATTACAGCAGCCTTCCCCAATGTGGTGCCTTCCAGATATGTTAAGAATCCTGTTAACTGTGCTGACTTGGAGATTTATGAATTGTAGGCACAATAGTTCTGGAGGACATGAGATGTTGGAGAAGAATGAAGTAGAGAGTTCCTTGCATTCCTTGTATACTGATTGGCCTAGACTGGTGAACTTTTCTATTCTGTCCTCATAAGTTATAGCCATTTTAAAGACAATGTTGCTTTTTATTGTCTGATCCTAATAGTAGAGGGTCACTTGTATAGAGGGCCACCAAACTGTCCGGTCTTGTTTGAATACAAGTAGTCCTTGACTTAACATTAATTCAGCGACCGTTCAAAGTTATGACAGTGCTGAATGGATGGTGGTTATGACTGGCCTCTTGAGTTTTGGCCATCCCAGCACCCCCACGGTCATGTGATCATGATCTGGGCACTTGGCTATCCATTTGCACTTACGGCCGGTTGCCAAGTGTCCTGTAATGATGTGATTGCCATATACAACCTTCCCTCCCAGATTCCCCAGAAAGTCAGTGGGGAAGCTGGCAGGGAAGGTTGCAAGTTGCTGGGATAAATCTCCCCCACCCATGCACCCTCCCCACTGGTCTGTTCTCACGCTGCACTGGCCACTTGTGCACCCCCATGCACCCTCCCCACCCACCCTGACCCTCCCCCGCACTCCCAAGCACCCCCTCACCCAGCAGCAGGCACTTACCTGCCTGCTGGCCTGGGACTTGCAACTTATTGCTGGCTTCCCCACTGACTTTGGTTGTGGGAAGTTGGCAGGAAGTTGCCTCACCTAGGAACTGTGGAAATCAGTTAATGACGGCAGCCAGGACTGGAGGGATTGCCTCATTGCTTAGTGATGGAAATTCCGGTCCCAATTGTCATCCTAAGTCGAGGACTACCTGTAACTTCAATTTATATGAAGTTGCCTGATTCTGTCCCCTAGAGGGAGCCATTCTCATACTTGAGTAGATGTGGTTTTGTCTGAGACTAGCAATGGAGGCGAATATGTCTGAGACTATTCCAGGCAAGTTGCTTTTTTTACAGGGACGCTACATGACACAGTCTTACGACTTATCTAACTTATAAAAAGTAATTTTTATTTTAAGAGAAGGGAGAATCAGACCAGCATGAACTCAGAGGTGTACATGTTTTTACCACTGTGCTTCCACAGAAAGGGGGCTTACAGATTCAGTAGAATGTAGAATGGCAGAGCACTGTAAAGAATCCACAAAGCAGCATTACTAGGAATCACGTTTTAGCTGTCTTTCCATCATTGTCCCAAGCTTCAGTGATATGGACTTACTTTATGACTCCCTTCCTGAAATCCTAGCAGAAGCCAAATTCATGTGCTGCTTCTGCAGAGATGTAAAGTTCATCTCACTCTCAGTGATTCACTGTTTCTCCCTATGGACTTGTTAGTTTTTAGGATTCTAACAGTTTATCCATTTGAACGTATTGGACAGATTCCTATTAACATCCTTTTTGGTATTCCTAACTTCAGCTAGGAAGGTTAGCAAACTAATGGTGTTCTATGTGAGAGATCTGCACGTATTTCATCAAGATAAGGTGGTGTGAAGATCAGACCTTTGTTTTGTGTCCAAGAAGAATTCTCAATTCTACTGAACACAAAAGATTATATCCCCTGATTTCTATCCAGTCCCCTTCCTTTCTACAGAATGAACCTGGTACAAGTTAAATGTGCACACAGTATTAAGAATATACCTCAAGCATACCCTAGACAGGTAATTGTCTATAGCCTAGATGACAGGACACCTGGACAGATGAATTACACAATCCACTATCAGCAGGTAGCTTAGGGAAGGCATTGCTCTGCCATACTCAGCCAGCAAGAAACCTCCCTCTTGCATCATGCTCCACTTGATTAGGGGTGCAGGTACAATAACAGTTCAAACATCAGGGCTCCCAATAATGGCAGTGACTTGGATGGTACCACCTATATTAATTAAACTTTATAAGATAGGCAAGTTTAGCTCTGCAGATCTAGCCTTTGGTTGCATGGTGATTGATACAGAGAGTGTTTTAATTTCTACTCCTCCTCCTTGGGAATAGTGGTATGGCATACCCCTTTCCTGGGAGCTCTCTTTTCAATAACTGGAATGGTTGTTGGGTTTACCAAAAAGTACTTTTCTGGTCATTAAAAGTTGGAACTGATAGTGTTTCCTTTTGAAAGGAGGCTAAATAAAAGACTTTAAGCAAACAAAGGTCATGTTATTAACTACTATATTTGTTATCTGTTAGAATACTAATGAATTATTCAGAAAAGAAGGAGTTGAACTACATTCAGCTGAAATCTACACGCAACTGGTGGGAGAAGTTTTTTCCATAGGACAGGAAGAAATTTTTAACTTATGCTTTCTCATTAGAATAGTTAGAGATAACCCCTTCCTGCCAACTCTATCTTTCAATGACCAGAAAGATACTTCAGAGTAAGCCAAATTGCCATTTTGACACAACACAAACCATGGTTAAAATACATTTGGTTTACTGTGATGTGCAGTTCAATTTTCTGAAGAGAGACAGACAAGAAAGCAGTACATCTACTCTTTATGTAGGAAAACATACTTCTGAGGCTGTTTCTTCTGCTAGCTCTCTTTACTAATCAATGCCTTCATTTCTGTCCATATTCTGCCCTGTTAACAAAATAGTATAAATAAGAATTAAGTCTTACTGGTGCATTAACATATATTTTTAAAAACCCTAAAATTTAAATCATTCTAAAGGAGATGGAACATCCCTGATAACTTAGACTTGCGCATGGAGAAAGTAAAGTCTATGCAGACTGTTAGCAGTGGAAGTAAATTTGTAGTAGGGGTGTGCAAAACATTTTGTTTCAAACCAGTTTGAGTGCAAGACTTGGCAAAATTTCATGAAACTCGCTTTGCAAAGTGAGTTATTTCAGGCATTCTTGAAGCTTTGGGAAATTTTTGAATTTGAAACACAGCTGATCTGAACTCAAAACACTTCCAAGAACCAGCTGCTTGAATTGATCAGAGCTTGAGCCTCATGAAGTTCCATGCTTGATATTGTTTGCAGTGAAAATGTCTTCATACTCCTAATTTGTAAGATTGTTTCAGGTGGTGGTCCTGCTTTTGGATAAGAGAGATCCTAAGTATTACAGAGGCAGAATAATTCCTGCCTAGGTCCCTTTCCACTTTCTACCTTCTGTTTCCACTTCGTTTCACTTTTATAATTACTTCTGCTTATAAGCAATTCTAAGATTTTTTCCCTCATAACTTCTTTAAAAGCTCATTTTATTCTTATTGTAACAGTCCCATATGTTCTAGTTTTAACTCCAATAGTTTATTTTTACAGAACAGATTTTGGGTTTTGGGGAAAGGAATCTGTTATGGAACTAACACCTCTGTGTCTGTTGCATTTCTTAAAATCTGGATTTATTTTTTTTCTATACCAACCAGAATTAACATGATTGGGTAGCATGGAAATAATTTAAATAAATACATCAATTTGCATACGATCCAGAATAAGAATTGTAACGAACCATTTTTTAAAATCTTTCTTATATTTCCCTACCCAGTTTTGTAAGTATTGTGTCAGGCCTAGCATTTTATTTAGAAATGCCACATCTTCCTGTTTCTTAGATTCTCGGAAAGCACAAAACTAAGTTCTTTGGTGGAAATTCAGTATCCATGATTGATTATCTAATCTGGCCATGGTTTGAACGGATGGAGGCCTTCCAGTTACTTGAGTAAGTGCTTTGAATCTTTTATACTTTTTGCTCTTAAATCTAGTGCCTGGTTACTTTTGGGATATCATTGCCAGGAAAGCTGTACTAGCCCCATTTGTTTTATTTATAATTTACATGGAAGTGATGTCATTAGGCAAAAGAGAATAGGAGAATCATGCTTTTTTTCTGTTTTGAATGTGTCCATTACTCTTCTACCTTTGCTGTCTCAAGGAAGTAAATGAGATACATTTTTCTGAACTAGAATTAGCCTGTTCAGTTTGGACTATCATTTTTTTCCCCCCATGACAGATAATGCCCATGTTCATACTTTGAATTAGGTAAGATTTAAATGAGTCTCTTGCCATTCTGCTCTTCTGAGTTAGTAAATCAGAAATTAATACAGTATTCTGCAAAAGTTTTAGCCAGGTGTGAAAAAATGCTGTAAAGTAATGCTTTCAAAAATATATATTGTAATTATTTATATTTATCAATTTACAAAATGCAAAGTGAGCAAACAGAAGAGAAATCTAAATCAAATCAATATTTGGTGTGACTACCCAAACCAACATCAATTTTTACACTTGCACACTTTGTACACTTGCACAAAGTCAGGGATCTTGTTAGGATTAGAGTCAGGTGTACGAATTTACAAAATGCAAAGTGAGCAAACAGAAGAGAAATCTAAATCAAATCAATATTTGGTGTGACTACCCAAACCAACATCAATTTTTACACTTGCACACTTTGTACACTTGCACAAAGTCAGGGATCTTGT